GGACGTACACAACGTCGCCCTCGACCTCCACGGGCCTGTCGTTGTCGCAGAAGACCTCGGCGTTTGTCAGGACATCCTTGAAGATCCTCATCTGTGGGCTTTTTCCTCGGTGTGCCTTGCGTGTGTGTGTGTGTGTGGAGTGCGCCTTCGCTTTGGAGCTGGGAGAGTATGCTTGGGGGCGCAACAGGGCAAGGCAAGAGAAACGCACGCTAAGGCAAAAACACAGACACGTCACTGCCGCGCCAGTACACGCCCCCACCACACGTCTCAACAAGCAGCAGCCGTCAGGCAGCAGCAACACACACCGACGACGACGACGACGACAACGCGGGCCTCATTGCCGCTTCAGGTAGCGGGCCATCATGGCGTCTATGGCGCCCTCCTTCTCGGGGGTGTTGCCCAACGCGAGCTCCAGCCACCGTCGCGCCGTGCGCGGCTGCACCAACGCTGCCGCTCCCTTCCGTTGGCTGTCACACTCGGCGGGGGAAAAGACGTAGTCCAGTAGGTACTGCAGCAGGCGGGGACCAACGGGCGTTCCGCCGCCTGCGGTGCCGACGGGCCCTTCCCGCCGCATCCACCGCTCCAACGCCCCCCTCCAGCCATCGCCGCCGCCATCGTCGTCCGCAGCAGTGGCGGCATCGGCGGCCGCACGCCGCTCCCTCTGCTCATCCCGCAGGATCGCCGCGCCGATGGTGTACGCGACGCAGAAGAAAAGCTGCTCCATCGGCGGCAACACAAGCACCGTGACGGGCACCGCGAGGGGCGCCGCCGCAGTCACGGTCGTCACGCCGTCCAACAGAATACCATCCGCGCCCGCCGCCAGCGACTCCGCCGCATATCTGCACGCTGTGACTCTCGCCGCGACCTCCAGCGACACCCGCAGCCGTACCTCTTCCAACGCCGACTCCGTCGCCTCCTCCTCGCCGGCATCCCCCGCCTGGTTGCTCCCGTCGGTGCCCTCGCCGGCCCGGCCCCCGAGGCGGCCAAGGTGCGCCGCGGCGGCATCCAGGGCCACCTGCGCAACCCTGCCGTCGCCCCGCTCCGCCTCCGCCTCCGCGTCGTGCAACGCCTCGTCGCCCCCCTCACGTACGCCCGCCGTCATCGAACTGCCGCCGCCGCCGCCTCTCGCCGCCGCCGCCGCCGCCGCCACCACCACGGGCAGCTGGTCGTACCTGCAGAAGTGCGCCATGGTACAGAAGCACGGGAGCGAGATCCAAGAGCCGAGCGGCGCTGCTGCCGCCGCAGCCGCAGCCTCGTCCTCCTCCGCCCCCATCTTCGCGCAGGATGGAACGAGCAGATGCTCCAACGCCGCCTCCAACCGCTCTTGCTGCTGTCGTTGTCGCAGCTCAGAGCCCCCTGGCGGCTGTGGGGGCACATCTGCGCGGCGGCCACCGTCCCCCACAGCGGCGCACGCCTCATGCCACGCCTCTTCGCACGGCAGCGGCTGCCGCCAGTGCGCCAGCTCCTCCTCCGCCTCAAATGCCTCCTGCACAGCGCGAAGAACCACCACCACGTTGGGGTGGCCGCACTCTTCCCAAACATCACCGGATGGAAGCACGGCCGCGAACCGCTTCAGCGTCTGCATCAGGTGGGCGCGGTTCTTCTGAATGCCCCTGCCGCGCCGCAAGAGGTCAGCGCGGAACGACGGCGCGAGGACCTCCGCCCGCGCAAGCGCATGCCGCCGACGGATACGGTCACACGCAGCAGCGGCACGTCGTCGCAGACCTCCCCGTTGCCGTGCCGCCTCCTCTATCGCAGCGTCAACCTCTCGCTGGAGGGTCTCTGCGGCAGCGGTGGCCATTTCCCTCGCCGCCTCTCCGCACCCTGCGCGGCTCCCTCCCGAGGCCCCTGCCCCAACCGTATCCTTCCGCCCGCTTTCCTTTCCTCGTGCGGCCGCAACCCTCACCCGCCGCCAGTGCCAGCTGCAGGCATTGAGGCGAAGAAACAGCAGGAAACAAATAAATAAACAAATAAATAAAGAGAGAAAGAGACGCCAGGGGCGGGGCGAACGCAACACGCAAACACACAGGCAGAAGGATGTAAAAAAGAACAGCACCAGACGAAACGCGTCTGAGCGTTAGTGGTAGCCGGTCATCGCGGCCGCTCCAGCGCCCGCCTTGGAGCTCCCGATCCGCTGCATATCGGCGGTCGCCCGAAGTATCTCCTCGCGCGACGTCTCCAGCACCATGCCTCCCATCACTATTTCCATCAGCAACAGCTGTACCCTGTCTGAGTGGAAAATGAGATCCAGCTCACACACGTTCTCGAAGGTGCGATCGAGCGCCTCCACGAACACCTGGATAAGGTCGAGTATCGCCAGCTGCGACTCGCTGCTGTCCACAATGAACACAAAACACAGCGTGGCGTAGTGGCGGTACACCACGCGGGTGTCGGGCGTGGGCCAGTCGCGGAAGTTGTCCACAAAGTTGCACAGGTCGGCGCTGCGCCGCGAGATAAGGCGATGGATGCGGCGCACAAGCTCCTGCTGGACACCCAGTGGGATGTCCTTCTCATACACGTTCAGCAGACGAATCTTCCCCGCCGTATTGACGATGATGACGGCCTTGATCATGCTTCGCGCCTCCTCAGCGGCCGTGGGATGCTGCCACGGTCGTCACCGTCGCCGCCTGCCACGCACCGGCCCGAGAAGCTGCAAGACTAGCCAATTGAGCGAAGCGAGAGAAAGAAAAAGGGGAGGGAAGGGTGCAAGAGCGACAAGCAACCAGCGCAGACAGCAACCGCCGTTCCTCCCCCCTCGCTCCCTCCCTCCCCCTCCCACTCCCACCCAGCGCCCTCGTCAGACCTGCACGGCCCTCCCCCTCCTCGGCAAGCACGGCGACACTCGGCGTTCCCGCTACTCGTCGTCTCCTGAGTCCACTGTGATGAACTCCGCGCCCCCAGCACTGTCGACGTGGCGCTGGCCAACTGCACTCAAATTGGCACCAACGGCCGGCCGCAGCGGCGTGCGCGCGATAGACTCATCGCACATCTGCATCAAATAATCAACGCCCATCGGTTCCAGCGCCGGGCGCTGCGCAAGGAGCACTGGCTCCGCGGGAGAAGAAAACTGGGTTGCCCCAAGCACCTCCTGCCCAACGGGTGGCCGCGTCAGCCGCTGTTGCTGTTGCTGCTGGGGGGCAGGGAAGAGCACCAAGGAATCCACGGTGTGCTGCGGCATCGGCACCCGCCTCGACGGCGTGAGAGCGGCTGGCGGGAGGGACGCCGTTGGGTCGTACGCGGTGCAGGCGCCGCGCCGCGGCAGCGGGCTCTCGGGCACAGTGAATATTTGCGCGAGACGCGGCGGCGACGGCTCCAGCTGGTGGCGCCCTGGCGCTGGCGGTGGTCCGCCCCCGCCGGGGGTCCCACCCGGCATTTTAAACAACGTCTTCTTCGGCAGCGCGGGGACCGCCGCCGCAGTTGCCACCGGTGCGGCCCCAGCCAACTTTGCAGCGCCTTCTGTTGCTGCTGCCGCCGCGGTGGCCGTCGCCGCTGGACGCGCCGGCTTCTGCGGCGTACCGTCGGAGTCCAACAGCAGCCGGGTCCCTTGCGGGGGCGCGGGGGCACTGGGGCCGCGTGCCCTCAGCGGAGTCCCCTCGTCGTCGATGAGCTGTCCGGCGTGCGTGTCCCCGCGCGGGAGGCGATGGCGGCTGGCGACCGCCGTCGTCGTCTGCCGGAGCATCTCCTCCTCCACCAGCGTGAGCTCGCCCACATCCCCAATGTGCTCGTGCCGGAACTGTCGGTACAGCCGCAGTATGTCCGCGCCAAACTTCCGCACCTTGCTCTTACCGAGCCCCTCTAGGTCGCCCAGCTGCGACACGGAGCCCCAGCCGGGCTCCGCCAGCGTCGCCACCAGCACCTGCATCGTCTTCCTTGGCAGGACGTTGTACTGCCGCCCCCCCTCTGAGCGCTCGGCGAGGGATTGCACGAGCGCCTCCATCCGGACAAGGAGCTCCGCCTCGAGTTGCCGCAGCCGCGCCGCGGAAACTGGGGCCGCCGCCTTCCGCGGCGTCTCGGCCGAGAGCAACGGCGCCGTGGGGCTGCTCCCCGCCAGTCCCGCCTCGCTTTCCCCCGCGGCGCACGGGGGCGATGGATGGTGGGCGCGGCGGCGCCGCTTCCTGCACGGCGGGGGGCACGAAGACAGGGAGGTGGCGGGCGACCCCTCCGCCACAAAGTCCGCGAGGGAGCCGTCGCCCGCGGCGGAGACGCCGGAGGACGAGGCGGACGCCGACGCCGAACGCGCACGCCCCGCGCGCCGCCGTTTCCGCCTTTGCGCGGACTCCCCCGGGTTCGCCGTGGAAAGTGCCGCCGCCGCGCCGCGTTGCCTCCCAACGGTGGGCGCTGCGGCAGATGCGGCGTCGACGGGGTCGGCGGGTCGACGCGCCTCCGGCGGCGCCGCCGCGGCGCGCCTCTCCCCGCGCACCGGGAGCACGACGCGGCACCTGCCGCCCTGCACGTCGCGGAGGGCCTTTGCCCCCTCGCCCTCGCCCGTCTCAATGTACGCGCAGGTGACGAACTCCGTCACGCGTTCCAGCCGCTCCCTGAAAATTCCAAGAAGAAGCGCCTCAAGCACGACACGCTCCAGAAGAAATTTGCTGTGACGCGCGCCCATCTTGTACTCTGGCGGCACACCCTTTTGCCGCATGCGGAGCTCAACGACTTTGCCGACGTCCGCCGTGCCGCGGTAGACGCCGATCAGCTGCTTCGACGTGAGCGAGCCGAGGTGCAGCACGACGTTGAACAGGTCGACCACAACCGCAGAGACGTCCAGCTTCTCTGCCTCCCAACGCCCACTCCGCTTACTCGCACAGTTGTCGCACGCCGCCACAGCCCCCTCAGGCTGCGTCAGGCAGTAGTGCTCGTCCATCGCCTCCCCAAAGTACCCAAGTTGCTGCATCCGGCGGCAGTGCACATCATTCATGGTGTACGCCGCCATGCGATAGAGAGAGGCCATGGAGGCCTTCCAGTCTTTGCTGCCGTATATCAGCTGCTCGTGCCGCTGCTTGTCGCTCGGCGAGCACAGTAGAATGCACGCAGAGGGCAGTCCGTCACGCCCCGCGCGCCCGCTCTCCTGGTAGTACCCCTCAATCGACTTCGGCATCGCCGCATGGATGACAAAACGCACATCCGGCTTGTTGATCCCCATCCCAAAGGCAATCGTGGCGCATATGACCTGCAGCTCATCCTTCGTCCACCGCTCCTGCTTCTCATTCTTCCCGCTTGCCTCGGCGTGGTAGTACGAAGCGCGTATCCCTGCCCCAACCAGCTCCGCTGCCATCTTCTCGCAGTCTTTGCGCGAGAGGCAGTACACAATGCCGCAGGACCGCGGGGGAAAGCGGTGCTTGACGAGGTCCACCACAACCGAACCCACGGAACGCCCCACCTTCTGCACGGAGTAGGAAAGATTCGGGCGGTTGAAGGAGCCCTTGAAGACCAGCGCATCCTGCAGCCTCAGCGTTCTGATAACGTCCTGCTGCACCAGGTCCGTCGCCGTCGCTGTGAGGGCAGATATGGGGGTCACGGGGAATTGCTGCTTCAGTATGGCCAGCTTGCGGTAGTCGGGGCGGAAGTCATGCCCCCACTGCGAGACGCAGTGGGCCTCGTCCACGACGAAGCGGCTCAACAGGCGGCGGTGGGCGAGGTGCACGAGACACTGCACAAAGTGGTCGCTCCGCCCAAAGTACTCCGGGGTGACGTACACTAGCGTGTGCACAATGCGTCCCGACGCCCACTCCGCAAAGAGGGCCCGCCGTGGTGCGTCCGACGTCTGTCCCGTCAGCGCTATTGCGGGAATGTCGTTTGCGATGAGGGCGTACACCTGGTCCTGGATGAGGGAGATGAGGGGGGAGATGACGATGGTCACCTGCGCCGGGTTTGGCATCAGCGCGGGGAGTTGGTAGCAGAGCGACTTGCCCCCGCCGGTTGGCAGCAGCACAAACGCATCGCGACCATCCATGCACGCATTCATGATCTCCAGCTGCAGGAAACGGTACTGGTGCAGACCAAACACCTCGATCATGGTCCGTCGCAAATCCGCCGACCAGACGAAATCCTCTCCCCTGTAGCGGTCAACAGGGTTCACCGGCAGCTGGACGGGCGCACTGGCAGGGGAGCTGCCCCGCTGCAGCGGGTGGGATGCCTCCTGCCAGTATGTCTCCCAACTGAATCGATCACGCGCGCTGCCCGCGTGGAGCCGCGGCTCGTGCGGCGTCTCCTCCCGCAGTTCGGGGAGGGGCATGACATCTGTGCGCCGCCCCTCTCCTTCCCCCGCAATCCGCCCAGGACGCTGCCCCCCCGCATCCGCGGCATCGGGGGCGGAGCTGGCCCCGTCAACCGCGCCACCGCCCCGCTCGAAAACGGACGCTGCCGCACTTCCACAGCCGAAGCCAGCAGAGGCAGCCCCCAGCGGTGTTGTGGGCACCTCCGCCGTCGCCCGCACGGAGGCAGCAGCCGCAGCGGAGGAAGCGGCGGCACATGACACCCGCCCCGCCGCAGGGGAAACGGGGCTGCTGCCAGCACTCGGCGGGGGGCGCCGAAGCAAGGTCGCCTGCAATTGTCGCAGGCGGAGGAATTGCGCCTCCAGCTCGGCAACGGCGCGTTCGCACTCGAGAATGGCCGCCGCCGCGTCGTGCTCCTCGTCCTCCTGCAGCACTAGGTCGTCCCGCAGCCTTTGCGCCCGCCGCAGCCTCTCGGTGACGTCAAGCATCTGCGCCTTCACCTCCGACAGCGCGGGGGCGGCGGGGGCCGGTGGGGCCGGCGCCGGTGGGGCGCCCCCCCTCGCCGCGGCAGCGGCGCGTGTGGCCCCGGCCACGCCTTCCCCCGCCGCCGCGGCCCCGCCTCCCGCACCAGCGGCCGCGAAGACCCGCCGCGGCTGTGAGGGGCAGTGCGGCGCACGCTGCGACGGCAGCGGCGGGAGGGCGTGCGGCAGCGGGTCGCGGGCGAACTGAGCGGCCGCCGCGGCGCCCAGCGCCGAGACCCACCCGCCGAGGGCACCCCCCGCCCCTCCCTCGCGCCCCATCCGTCCCTGCCGGTGTGCCCGCGTGCGCGGGTGGGCGTAGCTGCGCGGCGGACCGCTTCCGCCACCTGCAGCCAACGCGGCACGCAAAGAAAGCAACGGGGGCGCCAACCACCGGCAACGCAGCCCCTCCTCCCTCCTTTCTCTCTTGAGTGCGGAACACACAGCCCGGCAGCCCCGAGCTGTTTCCCCGTTCTCCTCCACACACGCCAACCAAGAACAGCAAGAGCAGAGGCGCGCACACACAAGTCCACCGTAGGTTGAGGCAGGCGAGGCGCCAATAGTCACGTGGAAAGATACTCATAGCCAATGTCAGCCACACGAACACAGACGCAAAAAAAACAACGCAGAGCAAGCAGCACCTCCTCCCTTGCGCCCACACACAACCGCGCATTAGCACAGTTACGCGGGGAACATCATGCGGGGGACACAGGCCTGTAGGATCCCTTTAAAGGGGAACCGGCGTGAACGCACACAAACACAAGCATACAAGCCAAAGTATACACGCAGAGGCAACCCCTGGAAAAGAAACGGAATAAGAAGCTATTTTTATTTGCCGCGCCCCCATTGGTCCATGCGCAACGCCCTGAAAACGGCCGGAATGGATGCGTTACCCCACAAGGAAGCCCCCACTAGGACCCCCCCCCCGTTGCTCGCAACGGGAAAAAGCACAACCCCAGCACCCACTAATTGGACGAGCAGACTTCTGTGGGGGCCCCTCAACCCGCCGGACCGACGCACGCAAAGACCCCGACCACGCAGTACTCGATCCGCCGCCCTGCATGTCGGTCGTGCAGCCGCAACCGCCGGTCGGGCACCGCGGCCAGCCAGCAACGCCTCTTTCGCGCCCCACAGTTCGGCACTTGCGGCGCGGCTCCCCCTAGCTACGGGCGAAGCCCTCCAGCGGCGGCGCTTCGTCGAGGAGACGCCTACCAAAGTTGCGGCCACGTCCGCCCTGCGCGAAGTAACCGCCGCCGTTTCCGCAAGTAGCGCTCCCACAGAAGCACCCCACGCCTTGCCCGCCCCGCAACTAAAAAATAAAAAAAACCACGGGAGAAGAACTGTGCCGTCAACGCGGCGCGTCCGGCAAAAGAAACTCAGCGACAGAAAAAGAAAATCAGCGCGACGCCTCGCAGCCTTGCCTCCGCCCCGCCCCCGCATTCGCGAAGGGGGTACGTGCCGGGAGGGCCACACGCATGGATCCCGCCCACCCCGCGCGAGGCGGAGAGGCCTGGGCGGGTCGCTCGGTGCCTCCGAGACACGCCCCTCCCCTCCCAACAGGCAGAAAGGAAAAAAAAAAAGAGTTATGATCACTAACAGCCAGGTGTATATATTACACATGGTGATAAATCATGGGCAGAGTTTTTTCGCCCGCAGGCGCTACAAAAATAATATTAAACAACACACACACACAAAGCAGCTATTAATTCCCATTCCAATTTCAGAAACCGTTTTTTTATCTTTATCGCGCTAATCCACTTCCCACATCCTCATACCTATACTAGCGGCGCCTTTCGCATATATATATATATATGGGCCGCATTAGCGCATCTTCCCCCGCTCCCTTGCGCAACGCGACGGCACTTGCTTCGTAGCTGCGACACATTTTTTCAAAAAAAAACCGCAACGCCCCTCATGTTTGGGTGGAGAGACCGCAAAGGAGGAGGAGCACAATTCCGCCCCCGCTGCGCCCTCGTTTGCCAACCGCTTTTCGTGCGGCACAGCCCTCTCTCCCGCTCTCCACCCCACGGCCTCTTCAACCGGGAGTTGGTGCAAATTGGGGCACGCGACGGCCGACTCCCACGGCTGTTGCCGGCACGACGGAAGGGCAGGACCGGAGCACTGCCCACCCGAGCAAAAAAAAAACAGCGTGAGGAGGGGTGTCGCACAGTAGGAACGACGAACAAATCCCAACAGGGAAAACACGGACAGAAATATATATGTTTTTAAATAAAATTTATGCAAGAAATATTCAGGCGGTGTCCCTCAAACGGGGAAGAGTGCTCACTTACTAGCCCACGTGTCGGGTGCGGACGGGGTGACCCAAATGCAGGAGCCGCGGAACATGACGTAGATGGCCAGGCCAAACATGAGCCCCCCCACAAAGAAACCCGTGCCAAGCATCAAGGTCCCCGTCTTTAGGTCGTTGCAGTCATTCATGGCGCCCATAAGCTTGTCGAGCACAAAATTGCAGTCGAGCAAAGGCCTGGCGTACGAAAGCGCAATGCTCACGTTGCTTGCCTGCGCCGCGACTTGCAGGATCCCTGCCGCAAGCTCCTTCGCAAGGTCTTGGGTGCAGTTGGCGGCGCACTCGAGCAGCGTGCACGACTCACCCACCACGGGGCACATCATCGCGCCAGCCTTAACTCGGGTGGCGCGCATCGCGCTGGCCATGGTCTCGAAGTCAGGGCATTGATCCTCCGAAGTGATGCCATTGCCACACAGCATCGGGCGAGGGAGGCCCTTGAGGACACCGGGGATGTCGGGGATGTCGGGGATGTTGGGGATGTTGGGGATGTTGGGGATGTTGGGGATGTTGGGGACAGAGAGCGCAGCGGGCGCTTGAGCGAAAAAAGAAAAATCGGGGTTGTTATCGCACGACTTTAGCAACACCTTGCAGGCCTCGTTGGAGTACTTCTTTTCGGCAGCATTCACTTCCGCGTTGATGTTGGAAAAGTTAAACCTGTGCTCACAGTACGGCACGAGGTACCACTGGAACACGCCCGGCTGACGTTGGTACTGCAGCTGCACCTCGCCACAGGCAGTGGTGGAAAGGTACGCCAGCACCGCCCCAACAACCGCGAGCAGTGCGAACACAACCCCGAAGAGCCAGTAGACACATGAGAGGCAATATGGCATGCAGGGGACGCAGCAGCGGCAAGAGGCCAATAGAACCACAAGGAGCATGAGCGCAACGCCCACGCCGCCGACAGAGTACGACACAAACGGCACCCATGCAATGTACGTGGAAAGCGTATGCCTGGCATGTGTCACAAGATCGTTCACTTTGGTGCTGACGTTGGTGAAGGGAGAAAAGTCCAGGTTGATGGCAGTTATGGGCTCACGCTTCCCAGAGGACCAGTTGGAAGTGAAATCAATGATCTTCTCACCCGTGTTATTGAAATAATGCAGCGGGCCACCCAGC